TTTTTTTCTTTTTCTCTTTTTTATCGGTACTGGGGATCGAACTCATGACTGCCTGCTTGCAAGGCAGGTGCTTATGCTGCTGAGCTAAATTCCCAGCCCCTCATTCTTTAATTTTAAGAAAGTATAATGAATTATTGTTTCTGGATGTGGTGAATTAGGTTGTGTATGATCAGTATCATCTCTAATCATAAAAGCTAGAGAAAAGATATTATTTTAACAAAAAAAACCAATAAAAATAAAAACAGAAATACTGAATTTGTGCCATTAGAGAACTACTGAGACAGCCAGTTCTTTAGGGACCAGATCCAAGAGAAAAGAAATACATTGTGGTTAAGATTGCTAGATTTAATAAATTAAAATACTTAATACTGAGTTAAATTTGAGTGTCAGATAAAAGGTACATAATTATTAAGTTTTTCTAGACTCTCAATTTTGCATGCATCCTGAGCTTATCATGATCCAGTAGTATGAATTCCTGAGGACATTTATCAGCTTAGTACAGATGCCAAAAGGCTAAGGACCTGGACACAGATTAGAAAATAAGAGACAGAAAAGCCAGAAAGAGTTTAGATATATCGTAAACCTAGAGTATAAAATATTTTGGGGGTGGCCAAAGGATCCAAAGCTTAATAAACCATGACTGAACAAAAGACCAATGTGGAGACGTTCTAATAGCTGATGCTGATAGTTTTTCTATTTACTAATTTAGAAAGGTTGAGAAAGGGACTATGAAGCCAAACAGAAGAATGAGAAAACAAAATACATATTGCCTTCTATGAAAGCTTAAGAAGGCAAACTTTGGAGGAGAATGTGAATGTTTCAGTAGGCTATCAACTTGGCTGGCCTGGAAATTGCACAGAGGATTAATCAAGCACTATTCTGGATGTGTCTGGTGGGTCATGAATGTGACTGGGGTCTACATCTAGTCCCTTACCTCTTCCTCTCTGGTGCTGTCCCCTTTTGCTTCATGGCCGGCATTTTTATACCATCATGCACTTCCACCATGAGGTGGCTGCTTTGCAGCCAGGCAAACATGGACTCAATAGCCTGAAATCTTGAGTGAAATTAAACCTCCTTTCTCCATGTCTCAGAAAAAGAAAAACTCAGTAATATAGTCAGAAATCCCAGTCTGCAGTATTCATAAAATTTGGAAATCACAGAGCTCTACAAACAAGTAAGAGAGTAAATGAGTCAGTTTGAGGGTAACACTCTAAATGCAGCCTCAAACTAATTTAGTCACTGATTTCACTACAAAGATCTGTCATTCTTTTGCTTCTAGGAAGATAAGGTTTACTCCTATAATAAGATTAGGAAAAATATGGTTCTGTGCAAAACCTGTACAATTTTTAAGATTTGGTTAAAAAAATTACCAGTCATACCAGGAGCAAAATAAAGCACCTAGAGTAAATAAGGCAAGGCCTAGAATTAGATCTCCAAACTGCATATTGAAATAATTAGTCTCAAAATTAAAATAACAGTGATCAATATATTCACTGATATATTCGATATTTTCTTAGAGGACTAGACTTCATAGATGTAATAAAATGAAAATTCTAGAGAAGAGCAGGAACTAAATGAAATTAAGAATTCAGTAGTTAGTTTACCATATTAGAACATATGTTAGGTTAAAGAGAGAAGAGTAAAATTCTGGGGCGCACTCAAAAAATGGAGATTAAATCTAAAATAATGTGGAAGGCATTTTACAAAAATAAGAAACTCTGAATTATTTTTAAAGGCAGTTCACATAAATAGAAATGAATATTATGTCTATAAATTGAACTACTTGATAATGTAAAAAGGATACTCCTCAAATTTGCCATCAATTTAATGCAATCCTCTTCTAAAGTCCTGTATCATTTGTGTGTGGATATAAATGTTGAAATTGTAGCTGTACAATTCATATGGAAATGGGAAAAAGCCAAGATAATCAAAGTAATCTTGAAGAAGAAAAAAGCACAAAGGACTTAAACATATCAAGGAATATAACAATGTTCAGTAATATTGGTGAAGTGATATTTAAAATAGTGGACCAAAATACAGAATTTAGATGTCTATTACCTATTTGTCATCTATCTATCTATGTCTCTCTCTCTCTCTCTCTCTCTCTCTCTCTCTCTCTCTCTGTCTCCTACACTTTATTTCTACAAAGATATTCAAAAATAATGCAATGAAATGACTGTTCTTTTAAGTAAATATTCTCAGTCAATTGAATATTATGTGAAAAAGTTAATATATCTTAGCTTCTTATTTCATATGAGTTTCACATAGGTCAAGAGCAAAACATAAAGTATTACTAAAAACAATTTAGCAGAATACTTCGGCAAATAATGAGAACAGGCAAAGATTTCTTAAATAGGATTCATAATGCAGTATGCATGTGTATCTCATAATGTTGCATTTCTACTACTAGTTTATATCCAACAGAATTTTTTGTGTGCTACCAATTGATATGTGTATGAATATTCATAGTGGCATTATGCAGAATAACCTGAAAATAAAAGTAATGCTAATGTGTTTCAATAGTAGAGAGGGTTAATGTGTTCTGTAATATGCATATAATTAAATACCATACAGAAATAGAATTTCTAAAATAGTTCATGAGAGAAGACACAAGAACAAACTTTATACACTTCCATGTATACGATTTAAAAATAAGAGAGGCATAGGTGTACTTAATATTTATGGGGACAATGACTAGGAGAGATATAAGGGCCTCTGGGTGCTGGGAAATTTCTGTTTTTTTTATTAATTTCAAAGTGAATCATATAAAGGGTGTCCAAAATATTTGGCAAATATTTACATTTTCAAATATTTTGCTACAGAAAAACATATACTACTAATCCCCCTTAAAATAATTTTCTGCACCTCAAATATACTTATCATTCCTATCACTTTCAGAAGCAGTTCTGTAAGTTTTTTCATGAGTATCTTTAGGAGGTATGACAAAAATATGGTGAATAGCTGCTGTCAAGTGCCATTTAATGAAAGCATTGTGATTTGCCTTTACTGTTTGATTTTATTTAGGATGTTAAAGCAGCCACAATAACACAACCAAAGGCCTTCACACAAGAAGATTTCTAAAGTTATTTCAGAAAGTGGCAAGAGCAATAAAATGTGTTTAGGGCAAGAGGATGTATTCTGAGGGACATTAATGGCACTATGTCTTTTACTATAATAAATTACTTTTTTTTTTTTACCATTTTTTGGCCACCCCTCAAAAAAAAAACTGCATAAAATAAATATGGGAAATATTTTTTCGCATTGATAGCCCAAGTTTGAATAATTGAAAAATTCACAGAACTCTAAGAGAGGCAAAAGATACAGTAGGGGAAAAAAGTCAATATAGGTCAATACCATAGACCCATGAGATCAAGGTGCAGCTTTTGAGTGATCACTAGGTGTGAGTTGGAGAGTTTGGAATTTTAAACCATCATTATAAATTATTGTTTCTTTATATTCTGGCCAAGAATCAGATCCAAACTGCCAGGTGTCTTCACATATGAACACAGAACTATCCCTGCCTCGAACTAAGAAAATTTTGTTTTATAAATATTTTAATAGCATATGAAGTCCTAAAATTTAAATATAACATTATTATATGACCCAAAAACACAACTGTGGTGATACACTCAAAGAAATTTGAGAGCAGGAATTTAAATACAGAGTCTTGCAAAGAACAAAAAGTATATACATGTCAGAAGTGTGGGATACTGACCAATGTCTGGACGCTAAAGACCACCACTTTGAGAATCTCTTGTAATTGTGGAGGCCAAAGGTAACTTGTATTAATTTCATGATCTCAATAAATTTAGTACTATATATTTATACATTTTTTCTGATGTATAATTTTTTGGCAGACTCTGTATACACAAACCAATGGCTGTAACAACATTGTTCAGAGAGCAAAAGGAGAAGCAACTCAAGTGTCCACAGCAGGTGTATGCACACATCAAATACGGTACATGTGTACAATGGAGTGTTAGTCACTGTTACCTAGGAGTGAAATGTGTGACACAAACAAACCTGGAAGACATGCTAAATAAGATAAATTCAAAAGGAACACTATGTGATTCCAACTTTGTGATGTAACGAGGCTTGTAAACTTCATAGAGACAGATACTGCTTGTAACCAAGGACTGCGCAGAGTGTGTAGCGAGGAGTTAGTTTTTCTTGAATATTAAATTCCAGTTTACAAGGTTGAAATAATTCCTTAGATTGAGTACAGTGGTAATTGCACAAAGTTTTTTATTTTAAAAACAAAAGATAGAAATGCTACAGAATTTCAAAAAATAGGGAAATTAACACTTGTTAATGTACTACATATTGTTATCTTAGAAGTAATCGTCCAGGTTACAAGATTTAGGCATGAAATTGATCAAACAATGAGAGCAAGCTGTTCTTTATGACGATCTTGCAGCGATTATTTGTATAGTTATCTATTAACATTTTGAGTGCATTTAATGTCACAAAATAATACAGTTAAGTCACTGGGGAGAAGTCTGGGCCAGCAGTGTGTTGCTGTGAATACTATGTCCATCGATGTGGAATATTGCGCTGTCTTGGTAAAAGATTACATTTCCTGTGGTTCTTTTCAAGTGGAACTGATGCAAACTGTGGCCCATGCTCTGTTTATGATTTAGTTTTGAATCAGACCTAAAAAGATTCCCTGGTCTGCATTGTTCTTCTCCTACACTGTTCATAAATTTATTTCAAATGCTTGTGTATGAAAATGTATCACATTTGAAATTGTAAATATCATTACCTTAATATCCTTAAATTTCTAAGCCATATTCAGCTTATGTTTTAGATATTAACATATGTGTACTAAACAACAGCACACCCACCTTCATAAAGCAAATAACCCTGGGTTTAAAAGACCAGATAAACATAAACAATTAAAATGGGGGAACTCAGTACTTCACTACCACAAACATACAAACAACAACAACAACAAAATCAGAGTAGCACCACATTTTCAAAAAAATGGGCTTAATATATACCTTCAGAGTGTTCCTCCAGCAACAATAGATTATACACCCTTTTCCATGGCACGTGGAATTTTCTACAAAACAAACCATATACGATCCAATAATGCAAGTATAAGTAACTACAAAAGAATTAAAATTGTACCACGCATATTATCAGATCACAGTGCAATGAACCTTGAAATTAGTGACAAAGAAAAAACAGAAACTATGTAAATATATGGAAACCAGACAATACACTCTTAAATAAACAATGGGTTACAGAAGAAGTCAAGGAAGAAGTAAGACAGTTTCTAGATCTAAATGATAATGTCATTACAATGTATTAGAACTTATGGGACATAATGAAAGCAGGGAAGTACAGAGCTACAAATGTCCACAGCACAAAAACAGCAAGTTCAAAGAAATAGCATAACTGTGTAGCTTAAGTTATTAGAAAAAACAGGAACAAGCAAATCTAAAGCTACTATAGGGAAAGAAATTTTAATGATCAGAGCAGAAATAGATGAATTTGAGATCAGGAAAAAATAGGATTAATGAATTGAAGAGTGAATTCTACAAAAAAATTAAAATCTACATACTATTAGTCAATTACATGAAAGAAGGCAATTAGAAGTTAAAAAGAAGAAAAAACAATGGCCACTGTTGAAATCAAGAGGAAACTATTTTGCAAACTTGTATGTCAATAAACTGAAAAACTTAGAAGAAATGAATACATTGTTGATCCATATAAAATGCAAACGGATAGATTGTAGATCCATGTAAAATGTCTTTTTTATATCTGTAACCGTCTGTAGAATCTTTGTTCCATTCTCTCTCCCATAGTTCCAGATATAACTATAAATATAAAATGACCTCTTCCAAATGTTCATTTTATTATTCAACCTAAAATATTAACATATAAAATACAAGAAAGGTGAAAAACCAACTACAGTAACTTTGTTTCACATTTATGACAATTTTAAAGTGTGTACAATGCAAATGCAATTAACCAGCATAATCAGCATTTTGTTAGTTTCCCTGATCAATTAAAACAACAAGAGTAGGTGTTTTCTAGATCTGGACCGTTTTAGGTTTTACTATTTCTTTTTGACAAGCTTCATCATAAGTTTCTTCAGATATCAGGAATTCAGTTTTTTGACAAATATTTTGTTGATCACTCAAAATATGACAGAATCTTTTAAGACTAACATGAAATTACATCTACATAGCATGGGAGGGGGATTGATTGGGAAAACAATTTTTGTCAAATTCTATTGATTCAACAGTGCTATCTATGTATATTTTTATTACTTGAATTAGTTTGGGTTGAGAGTGAGCAAGGAGTACTTATAAAAGATTGGGAAAGATTTATATTGACAACTCGCAGTTTACAAATTGTGTTGTCAAACCAGCCCAGCTATATTGATTGTCTAGGTATCAACATATCCATGCAGTTGACCATAGACAGTTGGTCATTTAATTAGCTACAGCTTCAAGTTTGGGAAACACTGGTGTTGGACAGAGGTCTTTGTGAAATACTTGTAGGAGGATGTGGGTCTTGTGATGTTTTGAGTCACTCTTTCAACAGAATTTTCTTAGACAGTGAAGTAACATGCAGTACTGGACAGTGAGGTAATTATAAAAATAAATTGGCCATAATCTTCACCGCTGAGTGGTATGCTATCAAAGGATACACAGGCAGAAAAAAGCAATAGATTTTTAGACACAACTGAGTTTATTCTTTTTGTCTTTTATGAGGTGATTCCATTTAGGCTGATTAAATGAAAGCTCAGAAAAAAATTGAAGATACATTTAAAGCATCATTTCCCCACATCTTTAAAAATTCATGTAGCAGTAACTTAGATATTTCACAAAAATGAAAACTTAAATTCTCTCCAGATTTTGTAGACAAATAAGCTCCTTCTAATATTAGGTATTTGTTTTTCAGCAAAGATTTCATTGACCACCTAATATTTGTCAGGAGACATAGTTGGGACATAATAAATATCCTCATCCCATAAAGCTTACATTTTAGTGTGACAGATCCTTAATCAGCCAAATAAAATGCAGAATAATATACTTTCAGGTTCCAGTGAATGAATAGGAGAAGTGAGGGCAAAAACTTGGGATCTACACTAGCAAGGGCTATCATGGAACCCCTTCCAAAGAGAAGCCATTTGTAAGCTATGTGTGGTGGTGCATCATGTAATCCCAGAACTCCAAAGGCTGAGGCAGGAGAATCTCTGTAAGTTCCAGGTTGGCCTGAGCTACCAAGTGAGTTCAAAGCCAGTGTGACTATGTAGATAGGGAGACCCTTTCTCAAAAAACCTCACCAAAATGAAATAAACAAAGAGGAGCCATTCATGAATGATAATATAGCTAAGTGAGGTTGTGAGAAATAGTATTTCACGTAGTGTGAATAACACCTTTAAATGTGTATGTATACTTACTTCGTTAAAACTTTGTGCTGAGTGTTTTGAACTTTTATCTTTGGATTCATTTAGCATTAGTACTTTAGTGATTTTCTTTTCAAAGTTTTCTGAACTGGCAGCTATGATACAAACAAAGGCATTTCTCTTTTGCACTAATTACTGTTTCTTAATTACTAACAAATTACTTCTATTTGAAGCAGAATATTTTAGTGTTCCTAAAGTCAGTAGGAGTGCTATGTGAATATTTTAAAGCACAATATGGCAAGAAGAATTCAAGAAATACATATCTTTCTTTTGCCCAAACATAAGATATTTTAGCAATTTTTTACTTTATTATTTATATTTGACTTATTGTAATATTGCATGTTGTAAATAATAACAAAATAATCCAACTTAGTTTGAAGCATGGGAATCTACTGCTGTCTTTAAAATTAATGGTGAGCATATGTGATATTCACAAATTAGAAAAACAATGAGCTGGAAAGCTAGATGTAGTTTATTAGAAAATGCGGTAAAAATAGAACTTGGATTGGATACTGAAAGTTTTTTTAATATATTGATAATAATGAAGCATGATTTTTTCATTATCAATACAACAAATATGAAACTTTACATATATTCTTAGCCAATAAATAATATTTACTATAAAACATTGGTTTTCAAAAATAATATTAAATGACATATAAGCAAAACTCATAGCCATAGCTCTAATCATAAACTTATGAAGCATGAAAAATCTATGAATGGCAAAGTATGTGGAATAATCTAATGAAATCATGTTTCTAATAGTTAATTTATCTTTCCTTTGCCATTGTACTAGTCTCAGAAAACTTTTTATATTTGTAATAGTATCTAGGTTATATGAAGTCTGAAACAACAGGCTGATCTATAATGTTAACATTACCTCTGATTTCTTTTTATTCTAGGCCACAAATCAAAAGTACTACCTTAGAAACTAGAAAGCTGGTTAGATAAGATGGAAAATTTAGAAGAACTTAATACAGATTATCCTGTTAATTCCTTTCAGTCTCCTATGATGTTAAAGGAACTTGGTTCTCATTTGCTATTAATTTAGGAAAGTTTATTTTTGATGGAAGAGAAGGTCCGATAGAGGAGCACTGTTGAGAGAGACAGCTGGAATTTAGAAATAAATGGCCCCAAATAGGGAGATCATTAGAGCAGATGGGCTCAAGTCCAGTGTCACAGGCTGGAATTTTCCTTCAAAATAAATTAGTAAACTATGCTTAATTATACCTTGAGTACTCCAGTGAGAACATGGTTTAATAAGCTCCTAACCAAGTTTCAGTGACCTCTATCTGCAGGAAGGAGTTTTCTGGTGTGAAGGGTGACTTTTCATCATCAAAGTCTTGACCTGTTAGAAATATTCTTGATAGGAAATGACAGAAATACCTAACAAACAAAAAAGGGTTTCAGTCTTGCACCATAAAAAGTCTGCAGTTACAAAGATCAAGACTAGTGTGGTGATACATAGATGTGTTTAGGAATCCATAATAATTCAATCATGTTTTATCTATTCTAAGAATATTGGATCTTATTTTTGTGCTTTTGGATTCAAGGTAGCAAAAAGACTGTTGTGCCTTTTAGATCTTAACTACCTTTCAGGCAGAGAGAAAGTCAGGGAGAAGGGTAGAGCATTGTTTGTGAAATCTTTCCCTAAAGTTCTGTGACTTAAGATTGCATAGCTATATGCCCTGAACTAAACTACATGGACAAAGGAACACTGCTAGCAATAAGGGATTTTTCAGACTCCCATTTTAGTAGTATGCCTTCCTGGTTCAAAATAAAATACTATAATAAAGAAAGAAAATGGAGAAGGGTTTTGAGCAGGTATTGAGTAATATGTGATATGTTCTAAAACTTTATAGTCCTGTAGATCTTTACCAAGCCAGCTATGGGACTCAAAATAAAAAGCACTTTCTCATTGACTAAAGAAGAAATGTACACATTAGTATTGATTACCAGCAGTGGTTCTAAGGTTCCAAAGCTACAGTCAGGGCAAGCATTGGCATGTTAAAATGTTACGATGATACTAATCAGTGTGTTATATTTTTATCACTATGGCAAAATATCTAAGACAATCAATTTTACACAACAAAGATTTGGTGTATCTCACAGTTTCGGAGGTTTTAGTACACATTCAGCTGGCTTCATTGCTTTTGGGTCTGTGGAAAGATCGTACATTATGGCTATAGTGCAAGGGAGAGGAAGCTTCCCACTCATGGTGGCTGGAAAGCAAGGAAAAGAAGAAAAAGATCTATAGTTCCAATTTCCCCTGAAGGGCATGCCTGCAAAGACCTACTGTTCCTCCCATTAAGCCCCACCTCATGAAAGCTGCACCATTTCCTATAGTGTCACAGGATGGGTATCAAATCGTTAACAGATGGGGCTTCAGGGGACATTTTAGTTTCAAACTATAATAGTCAGTGCAGCTGGAAAGCAGTGGCTGACATTATCACAAAGCACAAACCACAAAATAATGTGGTAATCTCATGCCCAGTCAAGTGCTTCCAGAGAAAAACCAGCTAACTCAGGCTTCAAGGTTGTGAAAACATGGAATGAACATTCTTGGAAGTTTTCACAACTGACTCATTAATGTGTTCAGTAATCCAGGATATCCCTAAGATATTCTGAGAAGATATTAA